TTAGCTCTAAACTCATTCCATGGTTTTCTTCCTCATGGTTTTCTTCTTTACTTGAAGCTCGTTCTTGTAGCAAAAACCGAGCAGGGCAGAGCAGGGCAGGGCAGGGCAGGGCAGGGCAGGGCAGGGCGGCAGGGCAAGGAAAAAGACCAAAATCCCCTAGGCCCTTGAAATCTGCTCATGTACCCTACCCTGCAACTAGAATCCCTTCTTTACAACCAGAACCCCCACTTCACAACCCACAAGCCTTTCCAGAATCCCTGCTTTGCAACCGGTTGCGAACGCTTCTTAGCAAGCGTATTAACGGACAACGGCAAAGCCTGAAACCTCCAGCATCATCCTACAGCAACCATGCTGGTTGGAAGGTTTTGCTGGTTGCAATGTGGGCGCTCTTAAGCCGAATCCGAGATGTATGTATATACATATAGATGTGTGTGGGTGGAAATCGTGTATCTAAGGGCTTTGAATGTAAAGTTGGTTTTTCTTCAAGTTCAAACACAATGATGTACTACAAAATACCTTTTGGATGACCGACAAGAAAAGCAGGGGGACCGTCTCGCAAGCATGGTTGACGGTCCAACGAAGAAGGCCATGCTTGTGACTGATATGGATCAAGGACGCTTGATCTACGTACGTGCAGAGCTGCGACTGAGGAGCCTTGAGGTTCCCAAATATTTAAAAGTCGTGCGTTGCATCTAAATTTGATTCTTGTGATCTTTGTTCAGGTTTCACAGGCTCCCATCAAGTAAATGTTTAGAAAAGAGCTGGCAGCCCATTCCGTGATGCCAACCAACGAAGCTAGCGGAATAGGTGGAAGGAGCTATGGACGCCTAGTCCTGTACCTGCAGCATTGAGAAAAGGAGATGAGACTGAAGGGCGCAATAAAGCATTGAAGGCCATTGAGAAAAGGAGAGCAGACTGAAGGACGCAAGCGGCACCGACCGGAATATACATGTGTGTTACTCGGCTGGTAATTCTGACAAAGGGCCAGTCGTGAAAGATGCAATGCAGCCCCTCCTCAGCATACCCGACATGAAACTTGGTTACATTCTGGTATTGGACCAGACTTTTACCAAAGATCCAATGTTCTTTAAGGCTAACGCATTCCCAAGTATACCCCCTACCAACAAGCACCCTAGCATCTCTGATATGTCTTTATGAGGTGTATGTTTGTCATTGCATACCCAAGTATTGCAGATCCAAAAGCAGGCATTCCCATGATCATGCTTGTTAGAATGATTGCCCAAAGCTGAACCATAATTCAGACAAAGCTGAAAAAGGTTGCATCAGCGCTTCGGCGACCCAAAGCATACCCAAGCATACCCAAGATGAAGGTGCAAGGGGCTGAAGTCCTCGTTCGCACTTAATATGTGATGCAGTTCGTTATGTTCATCTTCATGTCGTTCTGATTGTTGATATCCAAGTATGCTGTAGATCGTTTCGCCACCCACAGGATACCCAGCATCCGTGCTTGTTCGTTTCGTTTCATTCTGTTCCATCTTCATATCAAGTTACGACGACAGAAAACCGACGACAAAGTCATGACCGTCTCGCAAGCATGGTTGACGGTCCAACGGAGAGGGCCATGCTTGTGACTGATATGAATCAAGGACGCTTGATCCACGTATCTGCAGAGCTGCGACCGAAGACCCTTGAGGTTCCCAAATATTTAAAAAGCCGTGTATTGCATCTAACTTTGATTCTTGTGATCTTTGTTCAGGTTTCACAGGCTCCCATCAAGTAAATGTTTTGTTTATAGATGAGAAGAGGCACAAAAGATGTCTCACTTGTCGATGAGTCTTGTACATACATAATTATTGCCTCCAGGTTCCACTAAAAACCTCGAGCATGTTGTATTGCATCTAGTTTGTTACTTTGCCCAGAAACTTCAGGTTCCCCGATGTTAGGAAACGCAAAAGACCTAATTTAATACATTAAACACGCGTTCTTTTCACTCACTTGTTTTAATGAAATAAAATTAGATCTTTTGTCTCTCTTCATATTTAGGTGACAGGCGGTAGGTGGGTTTTACAGGACGATTTTAATTGTAGAACTCTATCACATGGATGCACCTAAGATATACCATTACAATTGACCTAACTTCCCAAGTCATTCTTAGTGACATCTCTTAGGTCATTATTAACGGTATCCCTGCGTCATAGGATTGTAACTAGGATTTACCATTATCATAAGCCTATATTTCTAGGTCCTTATTAATGACAAGTCTCAAGTCAAACTTAATGGTAAAATCCCTGAACCACTAGATTACAGCTACGATATCCTGACAGCCTGGTTCGTGTTAAAAAGGCTAATGTAATAAAGTGAA